AAAAAAAAAAAATTTGACTTTCACATTGTCTTTAATGTTTTTCAAGATGCCATTTTCTTTGTCATTAGTATTAAATCTTTCCTATATTTAAGTGCATTGGGAAGTGTGGAATCAGTATTTTTTTTTCTTTGATTATCATTTGGATCAGATACTCATTTGAAGAAAAACATATAGTCCCTTTAAAATGGACCTCAGGTGGTTTTGTACTGCCTAAAGCTTGAAAAACTTTTAATCCAGAGTTGGCTTGTTTTGGTATGATCTGTTGCTTTAGTAAGTAATGATGTTATAATCACTACTCATATAGAATAGTTTTTTAAAATATTTCTCCCTTTTGGCTCCAAATGCAAAGGTTAACATGTTAGTGCTCTCAGAATTGAAATAAATAAAGCTGCATAATACTGAAGATCATTATTCTAAATGTGACATAACCATATATATTTTTTGGTTGGTATAATTTATATAACCACATATACACATTTCTTTTCAAACAAAGGTCAACAACGAAGATCCTTTTAGTTCAGCCACATCGAGCTCTGTCAACAATGTGGTCATTAAAAACAATGTGCTTGAGGAAACATCAGTCAAAAGTGAAGATGTACCCCCAGCACTGCCACCAAAGATTGGAACTCCAACAAGACCCTGCCCACCACCACCTGGTATGAGAGTTGGTATCTTTCCTAAATCAACTGAGATGCTTTTTCTCTTTCTGAAGAATATTGGTGTGAGCTTTATAGACTTAAATAAAGGGCTTTCAACAAAACAAGTCAAAAACCATGGCAGAAGCCTGCTACTGTCATCTGTTCCGACCTCAGTACAGAATGACAGACATGTGCCTAAAAGGCCAGCATGTGTAACGTGAACCCCTTTTCTGGCAAGAGCTCATTTCTTTTTAATTCATTTTAGAGAGGGCAGTAAATGAAAAGAGGACAGTATCAGTGAAATGGCTTGCTTTCTGGAAACTCATTGATTACCATTTGCACAACAGTTTCCTTCATTTTGGTACTTTAAATTAATTTCTGTAAGAAAAGATTAATTTGAAGTCTCGTTCTTTTCCTGACCAATGTGAAGTCTTCCTTAAATCTTTTAATGTGAAAATATATGGCCTTTTTGGTGTCCAGAATTCAGCAACATAACAATTTAAAGGAAAGTATTGTTTTTCTTGAAGGAAAGTAATATCTTACTTACCTAATAAGAGACTCCTTTATTTTATAAAAGTAATTTTTTTGTCCAGGAACAAATTCTGAATGCTTTTAGTGTTTTGTTTTTAACAAAGATAATAAAGTTCACAAGAAGTGGCTAACAGGGCAATCCCCTGAGTAGGTGTAGTACTGCTAGGCTGTTCTGTGAGAAGATACGTCTGATACATGGTTATTTTAATAATCATGTATCATTCCTTGGTAAATTTTTAGCCACAGTAGTTACAGATTTTTATGCTTGCCTTTCATAATAACCTCCCTGTGGTATTTCTTGGGCAGATAATTTTTCTCTTTTTTGACTTAAAGTGTACAATTGTTAATACTCAATTATCTGTTGAAAAATCAGGTAAACAAATTAAGTGACTTCTATCTTTTAAGGAAAAGTAGCCTATATCATATATTGCTAGAGGCTAAGGTTGTCAGAATATATTAAAAAACAAATGAGCCAACAAACAATCTAACTAAAAAATGGGCAGAAGATCTGTGATTCATCAGTCTTACACAATTCACAGTGCTCACCATAGCACACACACACAAAAAAAGGGCAGAAGACATGAACAGACATTTCTCCAGAAAAGCATACAAATGGCCAACAGACACATGAAAAGATTCTCAACATTACTTATCATCAGGGAAATGCAAATAAAAACTACAATGAGATACCACCTCACAACTGTCAGAATGGCTAAAATTAAAAACACAAGAAATAACAAGTGTTGATGAGGTTATAGGAAAATGGGAACCTTTATACTCTGGTGGTGGGAATTCAGACTGGTGTGGCCAGTCTGGAAAACAGTATGGAGTTTCCTCAGAAAGTTAAAGATAGAACTGTCCTAGGATCTAGCAATCTCATTACTGGGTATTTACCCAAAGAATACAAAAATACTAATTCAAAGGGATACATGTACCCAATGTTTATAGCAGCATTATTTACAATAGCCAAATTATGGAAGCAGCCCAAGTAAGTGTCCATCAGTAGATGAATGGAGTAAGATGAATGGTGTGTGTGTGTGCGTGTGCATGTGTGTGTATACGTGTGTGTGTATGTATATATATGCAATGGAATATTATTCAGCCATAAAAAGAGTGAGATCTTGCCATTTACAATAACATGGATGGATCTAGAGAGTATAATGCTAAGTGAAATAAGTCAAAGAAAGATGAATACCATATGATTTCACTCATATGTGGGATTTAAGAAACAAAACAAGTGGATAAAGAAAAAAAGAGACAAACGAAACCAAAAAACAGACTTTTAACTATAGAAAACAAACCGGTGGCTACAAGAAGGGTAGTGAGTGGGGGATGGGTGAAATAGGTGAAGGGGATTAAGAGTACACTTAACATGATGAGCACTGAGTAATGTACAGAATTGTTGAATCACTGTATTGTATATCTGGAACTAATATAACACTGTTAACTATACTGGAATTAATTTTTTTTTTAAATAAAAAATGAGTCAATTTGCTCATTTAAGTTTTACACGTGTATGATGCCAATAGCAAAGTTATTTTTAAAATCCTAAGTAAAATAATATACTAGTGCGTTAAGTAAATCTAAGGGTCTTCAGCAAAGTGAGTATATATCACTATAGAAGTATTAAGGAAAAAAGGATGATTTGTTGGAGAGAGTACTGGACTGGGAGCTTAAAGATCTGGCTGTTAATTCTGGATGTCCTCAGACTAGCTCTGTGATTTTGAGTGTGTAATTTCATATGTTTGGGCTTCAGCTGTCTGAGCTGTTAGATGGTGGCAGTAACTCTAATTTGCCTACCTTCCCAGGAATGTTGGAAGGATCTAATGAGATACGAACATCTTTCATAAGCTGCTACACTCATGGAAAGACTGTTATAATTGCTATTACCAGTTTAACACATTTTAGGAAAAGTGCATATTTGAAAATATTTTAACACGTATATTTATCATTTTCTTTCAAGAAGTACTAAGTTAAGACTTTAAAATTGAAGAACTTGAGAATGGTGATGAGTTCAGCAAGGGTACACTGTTGTTTGGTCAAATACGAGTTTATCCACAACCACAAAGATTTAGACCCCAGACTTCAAAACATCTCTTTATTCTTCAATTTGAAATATTGTAGATGGCAAAAAGTAGGTGAGGTTTTCCAAGGTAATTCTTAATCGTGTTCCCAGGTGTTATATATAGATCTAGAGACAAAATCAGAAGAATATGGTCATTTTTCAAAGGTCATTTGCCCTTAGACTGCTACTAGTGGACAGCTGGATCAGGCTGAAGTTACAACAGCAGAGGCCATTTCTGTCTTTATTTTTTGTCATCCTCATCCTGTTTCATCCTTTCCTCTCCCTCTCTTTGGGAACACACTGCTTTGGGGAAGACAAGGTTTACACTCTGGGCAAAAATATGATTCCTGGCCTGTTCCCTTCCCCTTTGCTATTTTTTCATTTAGCTACATAGAGCTGGAATGTATTTGAGAGATTGTGTGTGAAAATTTTGAGGACAGACTGTTGGTGTAGTCATTTAAGACCATACTAAGAATGTATATTTTAGGCACTTACCTCCATTCCCCCAACCCCAGTTCTTTAGTGCTCTCTGTGTTCATGTTCTTGCGTGTTTGTTTGCTCTATTTGCTGGTTAATTGTAATGATTTTGATCCAGGGAAAAGACCCATCAACAAATTGGATTCTTCTGATCCTTTTAAACTGAATGATCCATTTCAGCCTTTCCCAGACAATGATAGCCCCAAAGAAAAAGATCCTGATATGTTTTGCGATTCATTCACTTCTACTACTACTACCACTACCAATAAAGAGGCTGACCCAAGCAATTTTGCTAACTTCAGTGCTGTAAGTACTGTGAATGGGCTGTTTGGGGGAAAAAATCTTTCCATTTACAGTTTAAAGAGTTTTCAATGATTACTTTGGAGTCTGCCAAATTTGCGTCATTTTCAACTAAATTTACCAACTTACTAAAAATGACCTATATGCCTCCCCCAACCAGAATTTGATTCTGTTTCGATGCTTCTAACATTGTTCCATGGCACAAATGATTTTAGTAGTCTTAGTCCTTGTGATGTGTAGACCAGTTGTTTTGCAAACCCTTCTTTTAGTCTTAGTAAACAATATAAATAAAATCTTGACATTTACTATTTTGCAAATTGTTATGGATGATGGGCCATTAGAGAGTCATTTGTCTGTCCACTGGATGAATAATGGCAATAATGAGCTTGTGTATTTGTAACTGTGTATGTTTGTTTGTGTATAAAGTTTTGATGATTTCTGGAGACCTGTCAGTAACTATTATATGAGGGGATAAAGCCAGGGATCTTTGAATAGAAAGCGAAACTCTGGTTTTTATATAGTAGCGTTTTTAAAATGTAAATGTCGATTTTATGAAGTAAATACAGTTGTCAAGAGCTAAACAGTCTTGGGGCATCTGGGTGGGTCAGTCGGTTAAGCGTCTGCCTTCGGCTCAGGTCATGATCCCCAGGTCCTGGGATCAAGCCCGGCATCGGGCTCCCTGCTTGGCGGGAAGCCTGCTTCTCCCTCTCCCACTCCCCCTGCTTGTGTTCCT